TGTTTTCTTATTTTTTTTTCCTTTGTCGGAAATTTCAACCAAAAAATGTTGGAAATGTTACAAAAAAGTAAACATCCCAGATTCCCATCCCTGATATTACTCCAGTTAGGAAAACCTTTTCATCTGTCCAGACAATGTAGGTGAAGGCAATTTAAGCAAATTGCTAATTGTCCTGTTATAAAACTGGAGACAGATTATCCCTTCTCCCCACTTCCCTGCTTTTATGTGCAGGAAGGTTGTTATCTTCTCACTGTCAGTCCTTTTCTAGCCCAAAACTCTGCATTCCCTTCAGTTTTCCCCCGTTAGTCACGGTTCCTAGAACTGCCTTGGCGCTCGGCAGCGCGATCCACGCGCAGCTCCAGCTGCTGCCTCCAAGGTTTTGCTGTTCTGGGGATGTTCTCAACCATGGTTTTCACATGGGGCAGTGTGGAGTCTTTGTTTCTTTGTGCCAGGGTTGGGATTAAATGCACAAGGCAGTATTTATTGTTGGGATTCAGATGTTTATTAGTTCTTATTTATGTTTGTCTGGCTTTGAAAAGCCAGCTTTCTGCTAAGGAATGAGGAGCCTTCCTTGAAATGGAAAATGTAAACCTCCTCTCTCTAAATTGTTATAATTTTGAAATTAAGGGGCTCCTAGGCAAAGATACGGGAATGGGAATAACAGTTCTTTACTAGGAGAATTTAAAATACAAATGCAACAGTACAAATAAAGAAAACAAACCCCTGCCAGAGTCAGTTTAGGAGCTGAGCCCTGTGGTCAGGGTGGTGGCACAGTCCCATCCCATGGGGGCTCAGCCCTCCTGCAGTGCCAGCTGTGCTTCTGCTGGAGCAGGGAACACAAAACCACCCAAACCCATGGAGAAGAAGGTGAAGAAGGACCAGCACTGCCCTGAAACCTCCATCTTGCTTTTTATCTATTACTATATTTTAAAACCTTCAACTCTTAAGTTTTCTACCTGTGATATCACACACTTCTAATCAACTCCACACCCACAATCCCAGTTCTGTCATTCCATTTTGGAAGCTTCTCCAGGCCCCAGGTCAATGCAGTGTTCTCTTGTGGGTCAGAGTCTGTCAGCACAGAAACTCTGAAATTCTCAGCATCCAGGGTTCCAACAGGTCAGGATTCAGCTGTGCTGAAAGGCTGCAGCTGACATTTCAAGGATTCTTTGGTTTGAAGAGGCCACTGGCATTTGGCATTGGATCCTCTGAGCTCATGGACAGCGGGTAGGGGAGAAAGATGGAATTTTTTCAGTGTGGGGTGGGAGGATTTTGCTTTCAATCTTATTCAGATTTGATTTTCTTGAAAATACTTGAATAGTTTCAAAATGCTCCAGTTTTGTCTGAGAGAATTCAATGATTTCCTTTAGGAAGATTGTTGGAAAACTGGGAGGAATGAATCCATGAGATTTAAGCTTGAGTTAAAGAATCTTATAAAAATGAATGAGAGGGACTTTAAACAAAGGCCTGGAGGGACAGGACAAGGGGGAATGGCTTTAAACTGGGAGAGGGTAGATTTAAGGTAGATATTGGGAAGGAATTCCTGGCTGGGAGGGTGGGGAGGGGCTGGGCTGGAATTCCCAGAGCAGCTGTGGCTGCCCCTGGATCCCTGGCAGTGCCCAAGGCCAGGCTGGACTTTGGGGCTTGGAGCTGCCTGGGACAGTGGAAGTGTCCCTGCCATGGCAGGGGTGGGATGGGATGGGATTTAAGTTCCCTTCCAACCCAATCCATGATTCTCTAAACTCAGGAATCCTTCACTCACTGTGATAACTTATGTGAATCCAAGCGAAGCTGTAGCTGCAAGGAACCTCTAAACCAAGCCCAGTGTGAAATCTGTGCTAATTTTATGGAAATTGTTTAAAACCTTCAACTCTTAAGTTTTCTACCTGTGATATCACACACTTCTAATCAACTCCACACCCACAATCCCAGTTCTGTCATTCCATTTTGGAAGCTTCTCCAGGCCCCAGGTCAATGCAGTGTTCTCTTGTGGGTCAGAGTCTGTCAGCACAGAAAGTCTGAAATTCTCAGCGTCCAGGGTTCCAACAGGTCAGGATTCAGCTGTGCTGAAAGGCTGCAGCTGACATTTCAAGGATTCTTTGGTTTGAAGAGGCCACTGGCATTTGGCATTGGATCCTCTGAGCTCATGGACAGCGGGTAGGGGAGAAAGATGGAATTTTTTCAGTGTGGGGTGGGAGGATTTTGCTTTCAATCTTATTCAGATTTGATTTTCTTGAAAATACTTGAATAGTTTCAAAATGCTCCAGTTTTGTCTGAGAGAATTCAATGATTTCCTTTAGGAAGATTGTTGGAAAACTGGGAGGAATGAATCCATGAGATTTAAGCTTGAGTTAAAGAATCTTACAAAAATGAATGAGAGGGACTTTAAACAAAGGCCTGGAGGGACAGGACAAGGGGGAATGGCTTTAAACTGGGAGAGGGTAGATTTAAGGTAGATATTGGGAAGGAATTCCTGGCTGGGAGGGTGGGGAGGGGCTGGGATGGAATTCCCAGAGCAGCTGTGGCTGCCCCTGGATCCCTGGCAGTGCCCAAGGCCAGGCTGGACTTTGGGGCTTGGAGCTGCCTGGGACAGTGGAAGTGTCCCTGCCATGGCAGGGGTGGGATGGGATGGGATTTAAGTTCCCTTCCAACCCAATCCATGATTCTCTAAACTCAGGAGTCCTTCACTCACTGTGATAATTTATGTGTGAATCCAAGCAAAGCTGTAGCTGCAAGGAACCTCTAAACCAAGCCCAGTGTGAAATCTGTGCTAATTTTATGGAAATTGTGTTGCCTTTTCTCTTTTTCATTGGTTAAAAGAGTACTACTGATGTTTATAAAAAGCCTCTTGACATTTGAAACTTCTCTACTACTGTTTTCCTACCCCAGTGAAGTGTTTCTTCATGTAATTCAACATCAAGAACCCCTTGAGGATTTACTTAAATCAGTCAGAGGTGGGTTTCTGTGAGTGGGTTCCCTTTTACCTTTGTATTTTGTAGTTTTTTTTCTTAAATGAAAGCCTGGCAGTCACTGGGACATAAAGGCTGTGATAATTTCTTTTATAACACACTGGTACTTCTTTTGCCAGTGACACAGTTCTCAGGGAAGCTGCCTCACAGCTCAGCAAACATAAACATCTGTTTTAAAAGAGGTTATTAAAAAATATTAGCTGTGCTGCTACTTAAATAAACACATGAAGAATTCAATTTACACCAGTGCTTGAGTCCTCTTGGACTTGTCAAAATCATCTAAATTAAAGGGAGCAGGATAAAGCTCTTCATGTTTTCTGGGTTGGACATCCCTGACTTTAATATAGGAGGGAATTTTACTGGGGAAACTTGAAACAAAAGTAAACATCCCAGAATAATTTGGGTTGCAAGGGACATTAAAGCTCATCCCAGTGCCACCCCCAGCCATGGGCAGGGACACCTTCCACTGTCCCAGGCTGCTCCAAGCCCTGTCCAACCTGGCCTTGGGCACTGCCAGGGATCCAGGGGCAGCCACAGCTGCTCTGGGCACCCTGTGCCAGGGCTTGCCACCCTCCTAGCCAAGAATTTCTTCCTCATATCCCATCTAAATATCCCTTTCTTCAGCTTAAAACCATTCCCCTTTGTCCTTCCATGTCAAAGGATGAAAAAAGTTAATAATATATAAAATAAAGCAGAGCTGCAGGGTTTGAGTTCAGGATTCTGGGGAGACCATTCTCTGCTTGGAAATTCTCTGAAGGGGATTTATTATCTGTATAAATACAAACAGAAAATGCATCTCTGAAATTATTGCTTTTTTAATTTATAAGAAATTATCCTTTTATGTTAGAGTGGCAGAACATGCTGTGCTCATAATGGATTTTTTCACCCAAAAAAAAATAAATCTTTAGGATGTGCCAATGTGCACAATCACCCAACCCCCCCTCCTGAGCTCTGAGTCAGCTGAGTGGGTGTGCAGGCTCATATGCTCCATCCAGGTCCCTTGGGAATGAAATATTCCTCATAACCAGCCTGTGGAACGTGGGCTCCACTCTTTCCAGGCTCTGGAATTCAGCAGTCCTCACTGTTGGGAGCCTTGTGCTGGGAGCAGCTGGGTGGAAACAAACCTTAAAAATTCAATTTTGAATTTCCTCCTGTCCCTCCCTGGATCCCTGTGCTGCTTTCCTGGAGCTCTCTGAACTCCTGGTCACTCTCAGGCCACCAGCTCTGGTGGTCTTCAAGAAATATTTGTGCCAGCCCTGCTCTCCTGGGCTTCAAAAAATATTTGTGCCTCACTGTTGGAGTTCTGGATGCTGAGAATTTCAGAGTTTCTGTGCTGCCAGGCTCTGACCCCCAGGAGAACACTGCATTGACCTGAGCCTGTGGAGAAGCTTCCAAAATGGAATGACAGAACTGGGATTGTGGGTGTGGAGTTGATTAGAAGAGTGTGATATCACAGGGTGGGAAACTTAGAGTTTGGGGTTTTAGAATAGTATAATATATATATATAAAGCAAGATGGAGGTTTTAGGGTTGGAGGCTGCTCCTTCTTCTCCAGGGGTTTGGGTGGTTTTGTGTAATTGGATAAAAAAGTCCCCATTGCAGGCAGGGGTGGTTGGTTGTTTGGTTAAAAGTGAAAATAATTGAGGTGTCATTTCTTAATTGGACAGTTTATCCCTAAAAGGCCTTGTAGAGAGAGAGATGGGGCTCCATTTTTAGTTTGTCAGAGTGAAGTGCTGCAGAACTCAGGGTTTGTGAGACTGTGACAGAGATAAGAACTGATAAACACCTGAGCCTGAACCTGAACCATCATCTCGAGTGCCTTTGATCCTGACCTTAACAGAGGTAGAACAAAGAATCCAAAACCCAGCACCCCAGCAAAGCACAGCACAAGGAGTCCAGCTGGGTGATGGGCTGGTGTGCTCAAGGCTTTGGCCAGGATCCAGACCCTTGGAATGTTTTCCCAAATTCTGTGCATCCCTCCAGAGCTCTCTGAACATTCATCATGTAACCCTGGCTGCTTCCTGTTTTTCAGGAGATGACTTCTCACTGATCCAGCAGGAGATATATATGGTTAAAGAATGCAAACATTGCAACATAGTCGCCTATTTTGGGAGTTATCTCAGGTAAATCCCCCTTTTTCTATCAATATTCCTGCTGGTTCTCTCCTAAAACAATCCCAGTCTGGTTTAGTCCTGTATTCTCATTAAATCTTCTTCCAGAGGTTGATTTGCCCTTGGTTTTTTGTTGTTGATATTTTTTAAAGCCAACCCAATTGGCTCTAAAAAACAAAAGTGACTAATATTGTGTTTTCTCTGCTGGCCAAATGGCTGGAATATTTTTATCACTAGGAACAGAAAGAAACATTTCCCTTGGAGAGTCTTGCAACATATCCAGTCCTACTCACACATTTATCAGTTCTAATATAAAAGCAGCTCATTATTTCTCTAGAGCAGAATTGCCTTTGGATATTTTATTTAATTAGAGTTGTCTGGGCTATGAAAGTATGGCTGGGGAGTTAAAAACCCGAGCTGCTGGTAATAACATTTCTCACAGTTCTGGTGTAACAGAGGCAGAGCCAAGGTGGTGTCAGCTCCCTGCACCTTCCATTAAATATTATACAGGAAAATATTGAATATTATACAGGAAATCTGGGAAAATTCTCCATTTCTGTGCAACTCTGCCATTTATCAATTGGCTCTGTGGGGATATAAATCTGCACTTTGCCTGCTTGGTCTTTTTTCTATGAGACTTCATCTTTTTTCTTGGAGGGCTGCATTTAAATAATCCCTGCAGCCCAAATGGACTCAACTGGAATTAAATTTCTAATTTCTAATTCTGAATTTCTACTTCTGCACTTTGGAGGGCATGAAGAGTTTTTTAGATACAATGATGTAATTTCAGTTTAAGATTGAAACACTGAGTCTAGTGTGGTATTTAATCACACTGAATTTTGCTGATAGCAGGTAAACCTCAGGTGTTTTGTTGTAGAGTTAAGCACCACCTTTTATGTTTAATGATGTTTAAATATTTCTCAGGGACTTTGGAATAAAACTTTTGATTGGTGAAAATTATATTTTTATAATTTTTATCAATATTTTTATATTGATAACATGAGAATTTATATTAATGACACAAGAATTTGTCTTAATACCAGTGTAACTGCTGATCATGTATCAGAATGTATTTTTAACAGAGGGTGATCAAGACTAATAGAAAATAATTTAAATTATGATGTTCTTCATCCAGATCAATCAGCTTCTGATGCCTGTGTTTTAATTTTGTTTTGGTAGCCGTGAGAAGCTGTGGATATGCATGGAATACTGTGGTGGGGGATCCCTCCAGGACATTTACCACGGTACTTGGCCAATTATTTTCACATTTTTTACTTTGGGAAGCTTTCTGCAAAAAGAAAAATAAATAATAAACCTACAGGGAATGGTTGGCACTGGATGTGGGGTTTTTTGGGAGGCATAAACAGTGATTTTTAGCTGCAGTCAATAGATATTGGGAGTTCATTCCAGATAAAGTGACCAGTATTTTTAATATTTATAATATTGACATTTTAATATTGACATAATATCTGACATTTAATATTTGACATTTTATGGAAGAACAGTTGGATATGGGGGTGAGAAAGGAGTTTTCATTGGGAAATCTCAAAATTTGATCTTTAAAGGGGAAAAATGACTCTTTATTCCTGCCCCTGTGAAATACCATCCCACTCCTGTATTATTTTCCTTCCTGAAGTTTCATCTGGAGTTGTTGATGCTGTAGAATAATTTATTGGAGTTGTTGGAAAAACAGTTAGGGACTTGCTGTGCCTTTAAATGATAACACTGAGTTTTTGGATGCCTGAACTCTTTCTGCTTTATTTTAAAATTATTTAGTACAAATACAAAAATTTTAATCCTTTAAAACAATTCCAAGCCCCTTAGACAGTCCCTGATATGAAACATTCCCATTTCTAATATTAAAATATTAGCAGATGCCACTTTTAGTTTCCTGACAATAGCAGAGTACTACAAAATCACTCATAAAATAAGAATTAATTCAGTGAAAACAGGTTTTCTTCTCACTGTGGGTATTGTTTTCTGTGGTGGTGCTGTTGGGGTATTTTTTACAGAAAGCCTTTCTGTAAAACAAGCAAACAAACCCCTCTTTTCAGCTCAGTGCACAATACAGATCATGTAAAACCAGCCTTTAACTTTGGCATGGACAAACCACTTTTTGGCTGTTCCACAGTGTTATTTATGTGCTCTGTGTTGTAAATTTAATTTTTGCATCTTTATTTCCAGTAACAGGACCTCTGTCAGAGTTGCAAATTGCTTATGTGTGCAGAGAAACTCTACAGGTACTGTACTTCTGCAGGTGCACAATAAAGTGTTTATTCCATGTAAATAAAGTAGATACAGAATAATTAGTTCAATTCCAGCACTTCTGTTGGGAATCAAGCAGACACAAATTAACCAGGGTAATCTGTTATTTTCCATACTGTAAATAAAATTGAAAAAGAAATTCCAGTGTGATATAGTGCAAATTTTTGCTTAAATATTGAACTGCCTGACTGCCCTGTTGTGGTAAATTTGATCATGTGTGGGGGTAAAATACTGCAACCAGATAAATAAAATTCATTTTGTGACTGCTGATAGCAAAGAAATACAAGATGAATCTTCCCTTATCTGCAAATCTCAAATGTCTCAATTTCCAAATCAAATATATTGAGAAAATTAAATTTGTTAAACAGAATTGGCTTTGTAGGATGTTAATAAATGGCAGAATAATTAATTGTGTCTTTTATTTCCAGGGTCTTGCTTATTTACACATGAAGGGCAAAATGCACAGAGATATAAAGGTAACTTGGAACCTTGAGAAATTTCTCTTACAGTTCCAAGTGCAGGAAAAATATTTCTGATAAAGATTTTGAATTCATTTTGTTTTAGGGTGCAAACATTCTCCTAACAGACCATGGAGACGTTAAATTGGGTGAGTTGCCTGAGTTCTGTAATATGGATTTAATTTCATTTATGGAGCCGTGTGGCTGTGGCACTGGGGGACATGGGGCAGTGCTGGACTCCATCATTCAAAGGTGTTTTCCAACCTAAGTGATTCCATGATTATTTGGGGCAATAGATGGTGCTAGAAGGTGATGACAAAGTGTGTGTCCATGGCTAGGCTGTGTAGGAGATGAGCAGTTTTTATTCTGTGAAGAAATTATAGATAATTTCATTATTCAACCACTGAGCCTTTAAGCCTCCCAGACTTTCTTGGAATTTGCCAGGCTGGCATTACCTGGATGTCAGTTTTTATCCCTCAGAGCTGTTTGGGGCAGCCTGTGGAAAAGTGGGATCTGATCCTGGCTCTGTGTGTGGTGTTGGGCAATTCCACAAAGGTGGAGGAGAGGAAAACTCCCAGGTCTGCAGGGAGAAGCTGCCATGGGGTGTCACCATCCCATGGATGTCACCATCCCATGGATATCACCATCCTGATGTCACCATCTCTGGAATCAGGGCAGTTGTGCCTTAGTTCAACCTCCATACCCCTGTGGGGAAGCAGGAATGCTGTGTTGGGAAAGGAGAGCTTTTTAAAGAAGGAAAAATAGGAGTAAAACCTTGACTCCCTGCATTAAACTTGGCATGCTCAGGGGTACCTGCCTTTTGCCTGCTTGCATTTTCCCAAGTTATCCTCCAGCTTTCATGCCACCAATCAATCAAAATCAAATGGATTTCAATGATTTTTGGCTCTGCAGGACCACCTGATGTTTGAGGTTTCTGGGGGCAAGGGATGATTGGTCCCTAGACAGTGTCCAGGGCAGAGAACAGCTGCCCCATCAGTCCCTCCATAAATAACACACAAAAGGTGCCTTTTCCAAGGCATGATGCTGTTTTTCCCCTTAAATTGAACATCCAAAAATTCTGGTTGATGTATTGTGAGATGGAAAAAATTATCTAAGAGAGGAACTGTGTGTAGAAAGAAAATTCTTTGATTTGAAGTCATGTCATTGAAGGCTTTAATGATCCTGTTATTAATCTTCAGCTGTTTCCCTAATGAATTTTTAATTTGGATGAGACACATGATTGTTCTTTCATAGCACTGTAACATTGGGGTCTTCAGCTGTGATTTTAAGGCTCTGATGGTTTGATTTTATTTTCCAGCTGACTTTGGGGTAGCAGCAAAAATAACAGCCACTATTGCAAAGAGGAAATCCTTTATTGGCACACCTTACTGGTAAGAAACCACTTTGGTTGCTGTGCTGCAAAGCTGAGCCTGTATTTATGCCAAAAATCCTCAAACACACGCACATGTCTATAGAAATTGCATAAATTCTCTTTCTTCCAAGTCAAATGCCCAAAGGGTAAAAATCTGGGAAGCACTGATCTGTTGTTGCTGTAACAAAAGCTACTTGATATTTGAGGCAGGGCTGTTGTTTCTCCCACATTTATTTCTGCAGAATGTTCTCCCTTTTTGGGGGATACCAATGGTTATTTAGTTTCTCAGCCTTACATTTTTAGTGACTAAAACAGTGATGAAAACTGGTTTTTGTGCAGAAAGAAAACCAGATTTTCAGACTATCTTTTAATTATCCCTACTGATTAATGGCTGCGCAAGGCAGCATTTAATATGCAGATAATGATATGCAAATGATCATATGCAAATAACCACCTCTGTGTCCAGAGGTGATCCAGTTACATCCCCCTCCTAAGATGCTTATTTAAATCCATAAGGAGCTTTTGAGTGCTTTGTGTCCCTACCTTGCTCTTCAATGTGACTTTTTTTGCTTTGTTTCCTGTTCGTTTTTGTGATGTTGTATTCAGCACATTTATTTTGTGTCCCTTAGTTTGTGTTCAGACATTTCAATAGGTTATACCCACTGTGTAAAACACACAAAGTTCATATTAATTGTCCTTAGATCCAAGATATTTCCAGAACTTTAGGAAAAAAAAAACCAACCAAATCCAAACTCTTGAAATACATACTTTGTAGAATAATATTGAAGCAAATTCAATCATCATAAGTGTATAGCTTAAATTAGTGTGTAATGTTTTATGTATACATTAATAAAAACTTCAAAAGTATTTCTGCAGTGATCAAAACCCAGTCTGAACATAAAATCCTTAACTTACTCCACTAGACATAAAAATGTACAAGTGTATAGCTAAAATTAATGTGTAACGTTTTATGTATACATCAATAAAAATGTTAAAATTATTAATAAAATATTAATAAAGTTTTAATTTTAAAAATAATTTTTAAGTTCTATTAAAATAAATTAAGTTTTTATTAAAGTATTGATAAAAACTTTTAAAGTATTTCTGTAATGATCAAAACCCAATCTAAGCATAAAATCCTTAACTTACTCTGTTAGACATAAAAATATTTGTATATTATACATATATACATATATATACACACATTGTACATATATATATTATATATACATTGTACATATATATATTATATATATATTACACACACACACATATATATATTTTATATACATACATACACACATTATACATATATATTCCTCCTTTTCATTCCCCCCCACCTCCCTTCTTTCTTTCTTGGGGGGCAATATGAGTTACTTTAAATTATAAATCACTGTCACAGACATCCAGTACGTGCACATAAAAGTGTGTATAATATTTTATTTATTTCTTATTTTATTTATATGTATATATGTCTCTTCCAACCCAGGGATTCTGTGAATTTAATTTCATTTAATATTTTATTTTATAAAATTTTATAAAATTTTTGTATTTTATAAAATAAAATAAAATAACATAAAATGAAACAAAAGAAAATACATTATTTATTATATTTAATTTTCTTTGATTTTATTTTATTAATACTTGATATTTAATGCATATTTTGTATGCACATGCACAGTTGTGCAGCTCTCCTTGGAGAGAACCTGAAGGAGGTGTTGCTTTTGCAGGATGGCCCCCGAGGTGGCGGCGGTGGAGAAGAACGGGGGGTACAACCAGCTGTGCGACATCTGGGCCGTGGGCATCACTGCCATCGAGCTGGCAGAGCTGCAGCCACCCATGTTCGACCTGCACCCCATGAGGTTTGTGCCCTGGGGGCTCCTCTGCCTCCAGCACCTCCCTGAGTCCCAGCTGGAACTGTGAGGATTCAGCTGAAGCTTCTCTGGAGCTCAGAAGGAGAAACTCAGACTGAGATTCCATCACTCAGTGGCTGTTTTCATGGCTGTCTTTAAGGCATCAGTCTGCTGAAATCTTGCATTTTTTATGTGTTTTGGTTTGGAAAGCCAGGTGTCTGCTGAGGAAGGAGGAGCCTCCCCTAAAACGGAAAATGCCTTAAGATTTTATAGATAAAGGGCAAAAATATTTGTTATTATTGAAGAAGAGACCCTTCTTTGGTGCTCTTTGTATGTTCTAGAAGACAAATCTTTATTCTTTCCCCTTGATTCCTGTCATGGGGCCCTTGCCCCTGTCATTGTGACAGGGAATGGTTTAATCCTTTCCTGGTTTCTTTTGCCCTGTCAGAAATTCCTGGTGCCATTCTTGGTTTGTTTCCTGTACCAAAATGTTTTCCATGCAAGTTCCATGAATCAAATGGGGTTTTTTCCTTATTTTGTTAACTTGGAAATGTAATTATTCAAACCTGAGGTTGAGATACCTGCACAGTGTTCTACTTTATCACACCCTCTTGTAATCTGTTTAGCAACTATCTTAAAATCAATAATACCTTGAAAAATTTAACATAAACCCTCTTTTTTCTTTAAGGTCAGCAACATTCCATAATTTTGTAAAAATAGCACTTACAAAAAATCCAAAGAAGAGACCAACAGCAGACAGACTTCTCTCTGTAAGTGACTTGGGACCTTTGGTGACCTCAGGAAGGGATCTTTTGCTTCAAAATGAGGAACAGATCAGTAGGAGACCAAAGGGAAACCAATTTTTTTAAATCTTACAATTCAGGTGGTGAAATCTGAAGGAAAAACACGTTGATCAGCTGTTAGCAAGTGGATTTTGTTCAGTATTTTTACACAGTTTTATACAATTTTTGGCCAATTACAGAAATTGGCTTCATGTTCTCAACCTTGGCCTTCCTGCAAGGAGCTGCCTTGGCCTTGGAGCTGTGGAGAAGTTGGACTTTTCTGACTCCCAAAAATTTCAGCAGCTCTTGATGTATCTGTGCTTTCCCAAGCTCTGAACTACTGATATAAAAAATGAAGTTCAGGTGTAATTATTTGTTTGACTCAAGTTTAATTTGCAAGTGGCCCAGAACGTGGTGTTTCCATATTGATGTTCTTAGAAAATCCAGCATTAAGGAGTCACTAAAATAACAGTGAAAGCACAAAAAATAAATCAGTAACACTACTGAATGTTTATTACTGAAACTTATCATATTAATTCCATTTAAAACTTCTTTTTTTGTGTTTTTTCCTGTGGTTACAGCACAGCTTTGTGGGGCAGCCTGGTCTCTCCAGGTCTTTAGCAGTTGAGCTGTTGGACAAAGTCAACAACCCCGAGAACCACACCCACTACGGCGAAGTGGACGATGACGATTTTGAGGTGAGAACATCTTTTTTATTCTCTGCCTTTTGTTAAAAGTGGCACTTTAAATAGCCCTGCTTTGCTTTGGGAATCTAAAACTGGAGCTGGAACAGCAGCTGCTCCTGTTCCTGTTGGTTTTTGCCTCACCTGTCCCTGCCGTCCCCGCAGCCTCACTCCGTCATCCGCCACACCATCCGCTCCACCAACAGGAACGTCCGGGCAGAGAGGACAGCATCAGAGATCAACTGTGAGTTCTGCTCTGCTTTCCCCTTTTCTGGGGGGTGGTTTGCCTCTGGGGTCATTTCCCAAAAATATTTTTCCATTTGGGAAGCAAACTGTGGACAAGCAGCATGTCAATCTTCGACAATAATTATTAAAAACTAAAATTAACATTAATATTAATAAACTACTCTGATAGTTGTTTATTTACAGTTACTTAGTTTATTTATTTATTTTTACTATTTAGTTTATTTACTCTGATGGATCTAAGCTGAAATGCTAAGGGTAGAAATGGTTTTATCTGCAGGTTTGATCAAAAGCCTTTGGTAGCGCCAATACTGGCAGCTCCATCACACTCTGGGAAATTTGCTCTTGAAGAGCCTTTTTCTCCTCTTTCACATGCATTTCACAGTGACAAGTGGTTAAATAGTTACGTTTCTGTGACTTGGTATTTGCTTTTGGCCTTTCTTGTGGGTTTCATATTTGCAAATTCAGGCACTCAGACAATGAGGCTGATAGTGAAGTGCTGCTCCTTTGAGAGGCAAATTCAGAGTTGTGTACACAAGATTTACCTCTGTTCCTACCTGCATTTCACTGCAGTGAGCACTGAAAGAATCCCAGTGCAAGATTGTGTGTATTAATGATGAAATTCTTACATTTTCTAGTTGATAAGCTGCAATTTGAACCCCCCCTACGGAAAGAAACAGAAGCTCGGGATGAAATGGTAAGGACAAGTTTGGTATAAATAAAATAAGTTCATTTATTAAAATCACAGTATCTTCAATATTTTTGGTTCAACTCTTAGCAGCTTGCTGGAAAAACGTTTTTAAAGGTCCCCAAGTGACCCTTACTGGATTTTTCACCATCAGTTTTTGTTTTCCTGTTATTTATTGCTGCTTGATCTGGACATTACACCATTTCCTGGTGCTGCTTTTAACTCTTAAGAAGAATATATAAATTTTTAGATTGTAAGATGTTATTTCTCTTTGGAATTTGATGTTACTGCTTGTGGATTGTCCTGCAGGGCTGGAAATCCATCAGGCCTCTTCGTGTGTGGTGGATAAGGTGATTTAAGATAGTTTAGTTGGACAGGGGGAAATAAAATGACAATTTCTGCATCTTCAGGTTGTGGCAGCTGGCAGTGACTTTGCTTCACATTGGAATCCTTTTGTTGATGGAAGCAACAAGTAAGTACAATAAAACCAGCTTTTATTTCTGTGACTTATTATGAAACTGAAAGAAAAATGAGATATGTTAAAAAAATCAAACCATAAGCCCTGATCCACCATAATATTGATAAATTAAAGAGATATTACCCAGTGTGCAGCCCTCCTTCTGCAGGTGCTTGGTCAGTTCTCTTTCAGAGTGACTTTTAATCTCTTTTAACCACCACCAGCAGCTTGTTTGAAGTTTGTAGGTGGGAAGTGAAGTGTAAATGCACGGCCAGGACAGTGACATAACACAGCCACAGTGAATTTCCTGCAGCAGAGCTGGGTTCAGGATCCTGCTCTGGCCTCACACTTCTCTTCTGAGCTGTGCCTGTGGTTGTGACATCCTGTGACAAGGCCTGAGCCCAGCCCTGAGCTCGAGAAGGGGAAGGAGAAACCAGTTCTGAATGTTGACTTTTACCAAGCTCAGTAACACTGCACCACTCCTCCTGCTCTGGGGGAATTTATAACCAGCCAGGGAGTGTTTTGGGGTGAAATGTTTTAGGGAAGGATGTGTTTGTAGCTGGTTTCCGTGGGATAAAGCAGGCCTGAAGTACAGGAGCACAACTCCCTCCAAGTTAGGAGTGATTTTTTTTAGGTGTGTACCTTCTTTTTGCTGCTAAAAAGTGGATTCTGTCTTTAAAGGATTTGCAGTCAGGAGTGTGGAGCTTCAGATGTAGGCAGAGATGATATCTGGGCTCAAACCATTGCTCAGCTCAAAAAGCCTGTTTCCCAACTTTATTTGGAACTCAGCAGCAGACAGTGGATTTCTCTGGCTTTTTTTGCTGCAGATAAAAGTCTTGCATAAGCTGTCAGCTGACATTACAGCCCCCTGGAAAGCTGGGGGAGATTGCCAGGATTTGAGCCTTTTAAAGCATCCTGGTTTTCCTGCTCCCAGTCTCGTTGGAGCAGGAGTTTGGGGGCTCTGGGGCTGAACTTTGGGGGGCTCTGGCTCTCCCCTGCCCTGTTTCCCTCCCCTCCCTGTGCCCTGGGTTTGTTTGTGTGACCCTGCTGAGCTGTGCATTGAAGCCTTGCTGGATTTTCTGCAGACAGCTGGAATCTGTGGGGTCCAGCAGGGAGGGAGGGAAGGAGGGAGGGAAGCTCCTCCTGGCACAGGGACTCAGGGATTTGATCCTGTCCTGTGGCTTTGTCTGCAGCAGGCTGTGCTAAAGCTGCAGCAAACATTCCCAGGGCTGTAAATCAATAAATAGGTACAGATTCATTGGGAAGGAGGGCAGGGACAGCAGTCCTGGATGGGGGATCCGTGCTGCTCACTTGGAAACCACTTCCAGTTGGAAAGATAAACAGGAAATGCATAACTCCTCTGTCCCAGCAGTTGTGAGTAATCCCTGGGATGTGCAGAGAGGATGTGTGCTGGGGGTCCTTGCTTTTCATGCCCTCTGCCTTTTGTCAGAGTGGATGCTGAGGGATATCTTTGACTGAGGAATTATTTGACTGGGAAGGGGAATAGCAGAACTGGTTCCTTCCATTTTAAAATTACTTTTGTAAAAATGTCCTGCATTATAGAGGTGGTTTTTATTGATGTTTTCATAGAATCCTAGAAAGTTTTGGGTTGGGACATTAAAACCCATCTAATTCCACCCTCTGCCATGGGCAGGGACACCTTCCACCATCCCAGGCTGCTCCAAGCCCTGTCCAGCCTGGCCTTGGGCACTGCCAGGGATCCAGGGGCAGCCACAGCTGCTCTGGGCAACAAGAACCTTCCAGAAAAAAAAAAAAAAAAAAAAGGCAACTTTTTCTCCTTTACATTTTTAATAGTTCCAGTTGGTCTGCTGCTTTCCCTCAGAAGTGACTTGCAGGGATATTTCACATTAATCCAAATTTGGCTGGGTTTTCCTGGTCATTGCCCTTTAAAGAAAGAGCTTGAAAATTGCCATTTTGCAAAATTTTATCAAGTTGTTTGTTTGTTTTTTTTCTTCAAGGTTACATTTTCAGTGTTGCTTTGATCCTCTAGTCACAATTTCTTTTTTTTTTTTTTTGTTGTTGTCCCTGGAGTGGCTTTGAAACAAAAATTCTAACTGTATTGGGAAACAGTCTGGGTCTTTTGTGTATATGTATAAATAAGGAAACTTCCCTTTAAAGGCTTTTCTCCATTTGTCTCCCAGTAACTTCCTCTGTTCTTTTTTTCTCTTTTTTTATTATACTGTTGTTAGACATTTCAACAATATTTGAAATGCCAGGTAGGGAAGTGAAAGCTGATGGTGTGGAAGAGAATCCAGTGATTTTTAGGGGGTGAGGAGAAGGAAAGGACCTCAGAGAGTGGAATTTAGTACAGAGGATTATTTGTTTTGGAAAGGGCTGGGAGATGCTTGTTGTGAAACTCAGTGACATCAGGGATGGGTTGAGTTGCACGTGTTGACCTCAGAGCTGAGCTCTTAATTTTATAAACATTCTGCCTTAGGGGACTGCTCACAAAATTTGGAGATGGGAGTGAAGATGTTGAAGAGTGAGTGAATCTCCTTCCTGTACACTTGCTCTGCTCCAAAACCTGTTCCCTCAAAATGCTGCAGGAGGCTTTGACCTCACCCAGTGAGGGCTGGCTGCTCTCTTGGCTCCTTCCCTGATCCTCAGGAGAAATCCCAAAGCTCTGCTTCCTCCCCTGCTCTCCTCCCTGAGTTATCTTAGTCCCTGTGGAAGTGCCTGACACCTAAAAGCAGATTTTATGGTGATGAATCCATCATGAGCAAGGCCTGGCTGGGACAGGATGATCCTGCACAGCTCAGGTGTCCCAATGTTTGTCTGATCCCAAAGCAAGGCTGCAGACTGGAATCCCAGAATGGTTTGGTTGGAAGGAACATTAAAAATCATCTTGTTCCACCCCCTGCCATGGGCAGGGACACCTTCCACTATCCCAAATTTCTCCAAGCCCTGTCCAGCCTGGCCTTGGGCACTGCCAGGGATCCAGGGGCAGGCACAGCTGCTCTGGGCACCCTGTGCCAGGGCCTCCCCACCCTCACAGGGAAGATTTTCTTCCCAATATCTCACCTAAATCTGCCCTTTTCCAGCTTAAAACCATTCCCCCTTGTCCTGGCACTCCAGGCCCTCTCTAAAGTCCTTCCAGCCTCAGATCCAGTCCCTGAATTGATTTACAAACTTCAAATATCCTTCCCCACAGATTGCTCTGTAACACTGGTATTTATTAATGAACAGGAGTTCATTAAACACCAACACTTCTAACGAGATTAATGAGCTTCTCCCCTGCTCTTGCATTTCTAGTTTAACCCTGTGTGTGCAAAGCTCTGCTCTGCCTTTTCTGTGCCTCTGGTTCATCTTATTTCCAGTCCTCAAGGAGTTCTGGCTTTGGTGTAACTCACACAACTGCTGCTCTTTTCATTGCAGATCAACTCTAAAGCGAGCTGGGCCACCCCCACTGCCTCCCAAGGTGAGAAATGTGGGATTTAAGGGATTCAGCCAGACTGGGATGGCCTCTTGTTCTGCATTCTGCCTGTGATACTCCATCAGAGAGGAAGCTCTGAAATGATTCTGCTGTCAGATGTTTTATTTTCATGGAATCACAGATCTGCTGGGCTGGGAGAGACCCACAGGGATCAGCCAGGGCAGCTCCTGGCCCTGCCCAGACCCCCAACAATCCCAGCCTGGGATCCCTGGCAGCTCCTGGAGCTCTGGCAGCCTCGGGGCTGTGCCCATTCCTGGGGAGCCTGGGCAGTGCCAGCCCCCTCTGGGGGAAGA